GGGAGAAGATCTCCATCTTATCTCCCCCCCCCCCCAATGTCTTTGTTTTTTTTTTCCGTTTTTCTTTTTATTTGGCTTTGCGATGTAGTGGACTGATCGAACAGGGTGGGGAAAGCTGCTTCATGCATGGCGAAACCATGAGGTGGGGTGGGGGGGAGAAGATCTGCATCTTATCTCCCCCCCCCGCAATCTCTTTACTTTTTTTTTCACGTTTGTCCGTTTTTTTTTTTTTGGCTCTGCGATGTAGGGGACTGATCGAACAGGGTGGGGAAAGCTGCTTCACGCATGGCGAAACCATGAGGTGGGGTGGGGGGGAGAAGATCTCCATCTCTTCTCCCCCCCCCCCAATATCTTTGTTTTTTTTTTCCCTTTTTTTTTAATTTGGCTTTGCGATGTAGGGGACTGATCGAACAGGGTGGGGAAAGCTGCTTCACGCATGGCGTAACCATGAGGTGGGGTGGGGGGGAGAAGATCTCCATCTTATCTCCCCCCCCCCCAATCTCTTTGCTTTTTTTTTTCACGTTTGTCCGTTTATTTTTTTTTGGCTTTGCGATGAAAGGGACTGATCGAACCGGGTGGGGAAAGCTGCTTCATGCATAGCGAAAGCATTAGGTGGGGGGGTGGGGGAGAAGATCTCCATCTTATCTCCCCCCCCCAATGTCTTTGTTTTTTTTTCCGTTTTTTTTTATTTGGCTTTGTGATCTAGGTGACTGATCGAACAGGGTGGGGAAAGCTGCTTCACGCATGGCGAAACCATGAGGTGGGGTGGGGGGGGAGAAGATCTCCATCTTATCTCCCCCCCCCCAATCTCTTTGCTTTTTTTTTCACGTTTGTCCGTTTTTTTTTTTTTTTGGCTTTGCGATGTAGGGGACTGATCAAACAGGGAGGGGAAAGCTGCTTCACGCATGGCGAAACCATGAGGTGGGGTGGGGGGGAGAAGATCTCCATCTTATCTCCCCCCCCCCAATCTCTTTGCTTTTTTTTTCACGTTTGTCCGTTTTTTTTTTATTTGGCTTTGCGATGTAGGGGACTGATCGAACAGGGTGGGGAAAGCTGCTTCA